CCCCCCCCCGCCCTTTTATATGTATGGTCCATTATATAATATTCAAATCAATGAAGTATATGTGTATTCATCAACGAGCATGAAACAAAAGCTTTACGGGACGATCATATCGTGGCAGAGAATTTGTCGATCCGATCGCATAAAATTCGAGCCGCGCACGAGTAATAGACAGACCGCTCGATCAAATACATTCGAATTTTACAACGAAAACAAAAAAAAAAAAAAGAAAAGCCGGGGCGCGCGCAAGCTTCATCAATGCATTAATCTTTCACCGGGCGAAAATTGAAAATTTTGCAATCCGCTCGCTCGTGTGCGGGCGCCGCGCGTATGTCATATAATTCCTCGTGCCGCTATATTTGCTGTGTATGAATCGGTTCGGATATCCTCTCTTTTCGAACTCTTTTTATCACATACACTTTGTTTCGTCGTCGATCATTCATCTCCATCGATATCGCACGAAAAAAATTAATAATAAAGCAAATGAAGTAATTGATCACTATGGAGAAAGTAGAGAAAAAAATCGCGATTGAACAAAATATTTAACAAAGTTAAAGAGAGACAGGCTTGAATTGACGTTGGCCGACGTTGCGATATGCGAATTGTTCATTCGTTCTCGTCGCACGACGCGTCCTTTTTCCAGAGGCGTCGGCTTCTCGGTGAAGCGCGACCGGCGCACGGCCTACCAGTGTCACGCCGTAGGCCCAGGTGGTGGTCGTTCCGGCGGCGGCGGCGATAGTCACAGCGTCGTCGGCGTACCCATAGCCGTCGCCGACCTCATGATGATGCCCCAGCAGCAAAGCAGCATCGGCAGCAGACGCAGCGGCGGAGGCTCCTCGTCGCGCTCGACCTGCGGACGCCTCGAGCACCAGTCGCTGTACGCGACCCGCAAGATGTCGAGCTCGTCGTCGTCGCTGAGGGCCAGCAGCGTGGCGGGCTGCCGCAGGCCGATCTGCAGCCCCCTGGACAGCGGCCTCGGCGAGAGCACCACCCAGGACTTCTCGAGCTGCTGCTCGAGCAGCGCCGACAGCACCAAGCAAACCCGCCCCGTACGGCTACCCCGATCTATTCCGTCATTGGTGTAATGGGCAACATTAAGCAAACAGCATTAACATTACTTTTTAAGAGTGGCTTTGACTTTTTCCTTTGCGTTTGCAGTTTTTTTTTTCCATTTTTGTCTTTTTGTTTGTCGTAGATATAGATATTTGACTTTGACGTATTACTAATAATAAATTTTTCGTACTATTAGTTAATGTTTCATAGCTCTTAGTTTATTTCATTAGTTGGAAAATTAATTCTGACTTTTTGGTAGTTGTTAGCTCATGTATACGAATTTTTAATTTCTAGTTTGTTCTCTTTCGTACTTCATTCGCTGTTATATATTCATTCAAATTTTAAGACGGCACACAATACATTTGATTGTTGGTCCAATTTGTCGCTCGATGCGATTCGACACCCGAGTCGAGTTAAAACTGAAGTTGAAATATTAAAACGCACTTGTGACAGTTCCAAAAGTAATGAAATACTAACGAGGCGCGCTCCTGGCGCTTATAACTTTCCCCGCTGGTAGATACGTCTGTGTGTGCGCGTCCAAAAAAGTTGGCATTGGCCATGGAGTCGAGCACCGAATTTTTCAACCAAAAAAAAAAAAGCAGCGAATCATTTATGTGGAGAATTAATTTGTTTTCATTCGTCTGACTTTTTAATGTATAGCAACTTCTTTTTTTTTCTTCACCTTAATCTGTTTGTATTTAATTAGCTAGACACCGCTTTAGATAAATAAAAAAAAAGTAAAATTTACGTACGATGCGCGAGAGAAAAAAGTTAGTAAAATGAAATTTTCTTTGCCATACATACAGACGCAAAGGCAATTAGACGAAGACGGATATTATAAAGTTTCTTCTGATACCTCAAAGCAAGATTTTACGAAGGGCGATGCGACGTTGGACGCCGTTCTACAACCAATGATCTCGTAAGTATACTCGATGAAAAAGAAAGAGAAAGAACAAAAGAAGTCCGTACAGTTTCACTTATCGTTGAATGAAAAAAAAACGTGAGAATTTTTACGGTTTCCGAGGCGCTTCTCGCTAATTAATCTCGATGAGAAATTATTTCTTGCTGCCATATACGCGCATAGAATTCAATAAGAGAGAGTCCTCATGTCTAGGGGAATTACGGTTTTTGCGAGTTACCGGCCGAGGCCGGTAGAGTAGGAACGCGTGCATGTCTTTAACGTCGGATAGTAAGCGATGCTTCGATGGTATTCGTTTTCTTCATTTAAAGAAAAGAAATGCATGAACAATATAAATTTATTCATCTTATGGTTTTTAATGATGTAAAAATTTCTGTTGCAGCACATTAACGCGAAAACGTCGAACCAAACCAAAGTAATCTCCAGAGGATAGTCTCTACACAGCTGGACCTCATGTGCACATATTGTATATTTATTTACAAAAAAAAGTTTTACACCTTGAAAAAAAAAAATTTATACTCACAAAAAGTTATTGAAATACATTAAATTAGATTGTACAAAGTACATTTATTCAATTCCTACCAAAGCATTTGACTTTTGATTTGTATCGTTCAGTTAAAAACCAATTTTTAATTTTAGTTTATTGTTTATAGGTTTGATAAATAAAATTTCCAAAATGTTAAGCTTATACATTTTTTTATATTTAATTTTGTTTTTAACTTTTCTTTTAAGTAAAAAAGTTTTAAAAAGAAATAAATTGTTTTGTTAAAAGATCTCAAAATGTCGCTATGATTATCATAGCAAGTACATTATTAATACATCATGAAATATGTAAAAGATTATAACAATAGTATATTCAAAGGTTTTCAATGAAAACTAAAATAAATAACAATGTACCACAATAAAGAATCTAATGACAAAAATCAAGCAATGTTTTTCTAAAACATCAGCAGTTTTAACACATTACACAATTTATTAAAAAAAACATTTGCATTAAGCATCTCTATCATCTTCTGTGAAATATTATTTCAACTAAATCAGTTGAAGATTGTACAGAATCATTGTTCATTGCTAACTTACAAATTTTCTTGCACAAGTATACATTTCTTTCTCTCCTTGTATAACATTATTCACATTTTGTTGCTTCAAATTTATCAAATTGAAAGCATTCTGTTGTAACAATGTATTTACAAAAAGAGATCTATCTACAATCTATACATGCTCTATATAACATTCTCTATGGAGGCTATAAATTATTCTTCCGTTTTTCGTTTGTCAAAGAGAGATTGAAAAATTATTATTAGTCAAGACAATTGTTCAATGTTTATCAAAAGTTTCAGGATGAGTACAACTATCTCTTTTCTATGTGTATATTGCACAATCTAATTAGAAGCGATCCCCATTGATGCAATTTGGATGCAAAATGACTTGATGATAATGATGATCATATGTGCATTTAGTACAAAACAAACTTTTAAACTTGACACAGACTTAACTTTCATGTAGGATATAAGAAAAGTGTTTACAGTACAGAAGTAGCATTACGGCGACACAACTTTTCTTTGCACAAATGTTGACGATCATCAGTTTTTATTTACAAAACTACACTTTTATTTACAAACCTACACTTTAGTTTTCTTTTGATGCCATATGTCGCATCAAGTTTTTAATAAACTTCTCCATTTTCTTTACATCTTGGGCAACTTCGGTCTTGTATTGCAGACACTGTAAAATCCATATGATATATTTAAAAGATTATAAATGTTTTATTTGTAATTCATGACAATTAAACAAACTTATGCTTGCAAAGATGAGCCAATTAGTTTAGGTTATGCTCAAAAGAAAGCAGTATGCTTACCGTTTTGTCATCGGTGATCTTGAAGTCGAGAACTCCTTTTTGATGGCAGTATTTCATCGTGTACCTGGTCTAAATTAACGATAAAAAAAATATTGAAAATTTAATTCACTAAGGAGATGTCAAAACCCTACTAACAATTTTGGCACTATTTACCTTCATCGGATTCTGCAAGTACAGACGTTCGGCGCACTTTTCGAATTCCTCCCACGAGCTCAAGTAGGTCATTTTGTACCGGAAAAGTTGATTTTTGCACCGTCAATTGGAAAATCTTGCACACTCGCGGTGTGCAATCTGCTAAACGTACGAATACGAGGTTTGTGTACAACTTGTCATGTTGTCTCCGAAATCGCCGAGCGGCGCGTGGATATCAACACATCCGCGCCTGCGGTAAGTGGCGCCACGCGGTTATCGTCGTCGTTTCGTGGGGTAGGTAAGCGCGCGAACTGCGTAAAACCGCCGCGACCGTTACAGGTCTCTGCCATGACTGCGAGCATGAGTCGCCGCTGGCTCGCACAGATGGCTTCAGAGTTACGAGAATTCGGCACTCGTAATCTTGGATTATAGTTTTTCACGGGTTTTCAATTGTAAATATGTAAAATTTTAAAGTGAAGTGGTGATTAGAACTCACTTGTGACGATGAGATTTTGTTTTATCGAAGATGATTTGTTTTAACCGTCATTCGAGGTTAGTAAATTTTATCGTTACTTGTACTGAAATTTTCGCATGCATTTTGTTTGGCTGACTTTCAGTATAACGGATAATCAATATTGAGCTTTGAAAATGATTAATTATGTAAAGCAAACGAGTCAATTATGGTGTGTAATTTAAAAACAAAAACAAACGATGCTACGTTTCGAACATAAAACAGAGATTTATTGAACTTACAAAATTGTCTCGTTATTTACGTGTTGTACACAAAACGTTCGGTTTTACAATTTTCTCCTGTGTTGAGTTTACATAATAAACGACAATAGTGTTGATGTTTAACGATCTGTATCAAACAAATTAAACGAAGCCCTTGAGGCTCGTATATCAATTGGTATGACTCCCCGTAATCATTATATGCATGAAATCTTCGAGAATTGCTTTTATTTAAAGCTAACAATTTTGGAAATGAAAAGAAAAATGGAGTCATTGTTACGTTATTCATAATTGTGATATTTTTTATTTAATACAAGCATACATGCGTTAATTTAATATATGAACAAAATAATATATATATTGTATACGCGTCGTTCGCGTAATTTTTTTTTATTAACAAGTCTTAATATTCTGGCAATTACGCCCGTACTTAAACTTACTTATATCTTTGGGAATTCTTTCTTTTATATACTATACATCGCTTAATGATTAAGAGAAAAAAAAAGGTTGATTCTTTTTTTCGTACACAATTAGCATATAATAACATTAATTACAATAATAGAATAGCTTATCGCTTATCACTTACGGAATACTTATCATTTAACTAGATCGAATAAATTCTTAAAGACTATACACTTTTCGATATCGGGTTTTGATAAAATAAAATTTCACCATCTCTCCTTCACCAGCATCATCATCATCATATCTCTCTCTCATTATTTTTCCATTTTTCATCTCTAAAAATGTGAAATAACTCAACAGTTTCTCTCGATTATATTATAAGCTTCAAAGAAAAAAATATACATTTGAAATAACAACATAATAATCCTAATTGTATACATCGTATTGTAACGCATCTCACACACACACGCGCGCTAATGTGTCGCGTGAGAAAGGAGTAAGACATAAGAAACGGGTTAATTAATTACAAATCGCAGGAACAGAAACGGTAATCATCAAATCGTATAATATTCGGTTGGAGTTAAAAAAAACGTATCGTTCGCAGTAATTCGTATGCTTACATTATATCTAGGATAATTAAGACTAATTTTTCTCGTTTTAAAATGCACAGATACACACACATTAATAATCGTCCTGAAAAAATGAAAAATCGTTAGACTCGGCTTCGACCTTTTTCGTGTTTGTCGTCGGAGTCGAGTTTTTCATATACATGCATATTTTTTTTTTCGTATAATATACTCTATATATATTTATGTATATAACGTTCGTGTATACTTTTTTTTGTCATTTTTCATGCACACCGCGTGAGAATTGCACACGAAGAAAAAAAAACCGAAGAAAAAGTAAAGCCTCGTTTTAAAAAATAAAAAATGTCGCGCGAAAACCGTCGAGTCACACACGGATAAATACATTTAAATATGCGCCGAGACGCACACACACAAATCCACGTACTCATGCACAGAGAGTATGTAAGTAAAAGAGCAGCCTCGAAGTACAAGAAAAGGAAAACACGCGCACACATACACACACGTACAGTTGACAAAGTTTATTGCGCCTAGTAGCAGCGGCAGCAGAAACGTTACAACTTGAGAATGATAATCCGTCGTTTGTGCAGCGCGGGGGCGAGGAGAAAAGAGAGAGAGAGATGGAAAAAAGTGCATAAGAAAACAGAAAAAGATTTTTCGTCATTGCCGTTTTATGTACTGTGCATATATATAGTTACGTAGCGCTGCAGGAATATGAACGTGCGACTATGCACCATCCACGAGACGACAAGTACAACAACAACAACAACAACAAGTACGACGACGACGACGCGTTTATATATAATGTTATTATTATATATGTACGCAGTGGTGGCGAAAAGTTTTTCCCTAAAAACGAGTCTTGCATCTCGATAAGGAGCAGTCGTCGCCGTCGTTGTCTCTCTCGTCGAGTTGAAGAAAGTCCAGTTTAATACTGGACAGCAGCAGCAGCACGTGCAATAACCGAAAACCGGTGTCACGTGTGTATGTGTCGCTCTTATATATAGTCGTGCAGCAGAGGGCCGGATGCTCGCCGCTCGCGTTTATACATTTCGCGCGCGTTTATACGCCCAAAGATTCTCTTTCTCTCTCACTCCTTGTGGAACAACAATTGGTTTTTTTCTTTCTCTCTCTCTTCCACTGTGTACGCCGTTATCGCCGAAGAAGAAAACTTCTCTTTTCCTCGGCCTTTTGCCAACTTTTCATCCCGGAGCAGCTTTTGTTTTCTTTTCCATCCTTCTTCTTCTTCTTTCCCGATTCTCTCTTCTCTCTCTCTCTCGCTCTTTGGTCGTTCGCTCGGCGCGCATTGTCCAGCTCGCGCGTTTTCCGATGAAAAGTCGCAGCGGGCAGCAGCCGTTTTATCGACGGCAAAGTTTTTCTCTTTTCGCCAACGTATTGTATCGTATAATACTTTTCTCTCTATACATGCTACACTTGAATTTCCAGATACCTCGCGCTTAAACGCACATATATACCGTTGCTCTTCTTTCTTTCTTTCTCTCTCGCGCGACTGCTCTAAGACTTGCGTTGCGCGAGTACAACAACGCGAAATTAGTTTGCGGTTTTTAAACAACACATACACAACACAACTGGACGCTTAGTCGAGCGCAGTAGGCCACAGCGGAGCAGCAGTCCCCGTAGTCGTCGTCGTCGTCGTCTTAGTCGTACGCCTTTTGTGTGTAATGATAGCCCAGTTTTCACTATATTTACAAGAACTCGAGCGAGTCCGTCCGACTTCTCAAACTGACGTATTTCTAGAGTATCCATTATGTTGCCCGTTTCTTCTCTCTCTCTCTCGTTTGTTCGGGCGTTACTTTACACAGACAAACACATGTACAGCTATCATATTGTGGTAAAATTATCTTTCTATATATAATGCATAAATATGTAATATACATATAGAAGTGTGTTAACCACCGATTAACGATTTTTATCCATCGCATATACGGAATATTACAATAGCATCCGTTGCTGCTCGTGGCTATGTGGTGTGCGTTTTACAATTTGTGCGCGGGAAAAAAATTCAAATATTCCAATTTGTCGGCGATCTTGAAAAGAAGCCTGTATGTATTCGCTGCGAGCGAGGGAAAGATACACAGCCGCGCGTTAATGGGTGAAAGAGGGCCAACAGCTTTGTGTGTGAGACACTCGGATAAGAGGAGAGCGACTTCGCAACGTAATATGAAAGAGATAAAAACGTTATCGCTCGAACATCGAAAACTTCTTTTTTTTTCGCGTGCACACACACACATACACACGTGCACGCGTGGATCATGGACGCTTACATGCAATTTGTGCTCTTGAGGCTCTCGCGACACACACACACACATACACTCACGGAGAAAGAGAAGGAGAGGTGAAAAAAGAGCGAGAGAAGAGGAGATAGAGAGTAGATAAAAGGGTAAAAATGTAAAGTTTATCTCTCTAAGGGCGTCCGCGTGTAGCGGAGTGCTCGTGTGTGTGTCGAGTGTGTGTGACTTAAACGCGGAACTCGTGAGCCGTTGTAACGAGAAATCCGCCTTTTTGTCGTCGTCGTCGTCGTAGTCGTTGTTGCTCTCCTCTATGTATGTATGTATAAAATGTGTGGCGAGTCTCGTTTCCCGTGCAAATTTTCATCAGCCATCAGATAAGCCCCTCTGGGGTCTCTCTTTCTCCTCTATCTATCTCTCTTTCAAGTAGCTGCTGCCGTTGCTCTACTCCGCTGTGCCTCGTGTGCGGCGAACGAGAGGAGAAAGAGTATACGTACGCGTCAAAGTGGTATACGGGCTGTGTTGTATGTACACAGCAGCGACTAAGAGATATACGTGCGTGTGTATACGTGTGTGTGTGTATACCGGTCATCGTCCTGCGGTCGCTCGCGAAAAAAAAGGAGCAAACGATAAGACGAAAGAGTCGAGTATTCTTTTCCGTCTTCCTCTCGATAAATGAGGGGGGAGGGTCCCCCGTCGTGGTTGTTGTTGTTGTTGTCATCCGCTGCCATAGCTTAACTTTTTCTTTTTTTCCTTTTCTTCAATTTTCTTTTTTTTTCCATTTCGCGTTACGCTATTTATTTTTATTTTTTCCGTTAACTATCTCTCGTTTACGTTCAAACCGATTTAATCGATCGAGTCGATCGTGGCGGCGCAGAGCGGCCCTAGACTAGGAGGCCGAGCCACGGGCTCGGCGCCGTAGAACACGGCGAAGCGGCCCTCTTCGTATCAGACGATCGTGGGGGGCTGCAGCACGGCCGGGGCGCGGCGCACCTTCAGCGCCTCCGGGCTCATGGCCTGCCTCGACTTGCAGGCTATCTGATCGTAATCGTACATGACCGCGAGGCCGCCGATGCCTACCAAGCTACCGCCGCTCATGGTCGTGGTGGTGTTGTTGCTGCTCGCCAGACTGCTGGACTGCTGCTTGCGCGGATACATGCCCGCCGAGACGCTCATCATGCCGCCGCTGTTCTGCACCAGGGCGCTCTTGAGATTGCACTGCTGCAGCTGCTGCTGATTGACTATGTGCTGGCGCTGTATCTGCGAACACGATAGAATGAACAAAAGCGAATTAGCGTTGATGTCGTTTTTTTTTTTTAAGCGAAAGCTATACTATATGTATGTGAGGATGACGCATACGTCGCGCAAATTATTCTCGGAATGTCGCGCGCGCAATTCTCTTAACGTATGCACAATGCGTCTATAGCACGCCGCCGTCGCCGCAGCAGCGAGCTGCTACAGCTTTTGAATAAAAAATGAGAAAAAATGATTTAGCGCGAAATCAGCGCGTATATACGTATACGACGACGCAAACAGGCGCACATACCATCTCTCTGTCTCTATACCGCTGCTACAATGAGAATACATCATTAGTCATATATGTACGGACTCGCTCGCAGCCGTTTTCCGGAACGGTGGATCCATCTTTTTTCCTTTTCCTTTTTGTACATATTATAATAACGCGTACGAAATATAATAATATCACCCGCACTGACTCGCGAGAAGTATAAATCATTTTTTTTTTCAAGCTATATTATATTTTTGTTTTTTTCTTCGCGACTATCAATGCCGGGAGAAATTTTTTTTTTATTTTTTCGGACGCACGCGCGCGCGCGCGCGAGAGAGAGAGCCAAGTAAAGAAGACACACGCGCGCGCGTTACATATGTATAGAACACACTCGATCGAATTTGACAAGCTACAAATGGACGAATTTTCCCCCGAACACCCGAGCGAGACAGAGAGAAGAAAGAAGCACACCCGCCCGAGCTATCGCATAGAGTATAGGTAGCAGCAGCCCCCCCCAGCTCGAATTCTTAATGCAGACAAGTGTCTCGCGCGTCCTCCATTCACGACGACAAAAAAAAAGAAAAAGAGGAAGAAGAAAAACTACCAATTTCTTACTTCTCTGTCTCGTTCTCTCGCTGTCTTTTTTGTCTTCGTTTCGATTCTCGATAAACTACATCCTCTCTCTCTCGTTCTCTGTCTCTCTTCCTTTTTCCCGACGACGTGTATTAGCTTAACGTATATACACGCATTTAATCTTTGCGACTTGGAATATATACACGTACATTATTACGAGTGCGTTTATAAGTTCATCCAATTAGTCGTTCATATCATCCGATTAATATAGTTGATTGCTACAAAAGCTCCGGCGCGCGCGAGCCGAGGCGAGCGATATATATTAACGCGCGCGAAACTCTCGAGGAGGACAAATTATAAAGTATACTTTTGCCGCCCCCGAGCAGCAGCAGAAGCAGCGAGTCCTCGACTCTCTCTCTCTCTCTCGAAGTTTATAATATGTATCCAACGAGCAGGAGGGCAAGAGTCAAGAGCGTGCGAGAGAGAGAGAAGCTCGAAGCAGCGGCGTTAATCGAGTTGCTTCGAATCGATCGTTATCAATGCGATTAGCTCTCGATGCTGCGCGCTTACTAGCTTTTGCGTCCTTTCTCTCTCGTTCTCTATATATATACGAACTCGCGCAGGAAGACACGCCGTAAGGAGATTTTCTCGCTCTCTGCTCCGACTCTGACGCGCGAAACGAAGTTTATCAGATTTAAAACGGTCCGTCGCCGGCGCGTTTCGCTAAAAGCCATAAATGTACATCATCGCGTTGGCAGCGCGGCATCGGGGCAGAGCTGCGATAGATATAGAAAAAAGACTCTTCGTTCGAAATAATGCAATATACGCGCGTGATCGACTTACCGTTTGCTGATCGAGCCCGAGCTTCAGGCTATTTCTGTCGATGGTCTCGACGTGCTGCTGTCCCATGACCCCCAGCACCGTCGTGCCGTTCGTGCCGCCGTTCTGTCCCTGTCCCACCTGGGCCTGCTGCTGTCCAGCCGTTTGCTGCTGCTGTCCATTACCAGCACCAGCACCGGCACCAGCGGTCTGCGTGCCGTAGTACTGCTCCGCCGAGATGCTCGCCTCCTCGTCCTCCTGCCTGTACTCGCGGTGCTTGTTGCGCCTCGAGCGCATGCACGAGTAGACGGCCACTGCGACGAGGAGCAGCAGCACCAGCAGGCCCACCGCCCCCGCCGCGGCGATTATGCGCAGCTCCGTGGGGTCGCGCACCACCAGGCGCAGATTCGTCGAGTCGCGGCCCTTGTCGCTCTCCACCACGAGGGTGTAGAGTCGCGCGTCCTCGCGCTGCAGATCGCGTATCTCCAGCTTGGCCCAGTAGCAGTTGGTGGCCATCTTGTTCTCGATGATCGGCTCGAGCTCCAGCGCCTCGTACTTCGGCCCTATGCTTTCACCTGCGAGAGCGAGAAAATAGGAAAATAAAATGATGAGTACGTAGTGATTGAGCTTTTTGCATCTGCATAGTATTATTAACACATTATAATGTATATCGTATATAGCATATCGGAAAATCGCGAAGATTAAGGAATCTCTCGAGTTCGCGCGAGGCACGCGCTCGATGGAAAAATTCCGAAGCGCGCATCATCGTGACGACGATCGTGTCTCGTATTCGACGCTACACACGCACAGTATACACACTCACACGAAAAGCGCGCGGGGCATAATATGGTAAAATTTTCACCGCGCGTTAATAATGCGCAATTCGACGGTGCACATGCGGGGCATGCAGAGAGAAACTCGCAACTTTCTTTCGAGGAGCTGCTGCTGCCTCGCGACTTACGTATATATATATGCGTATTATAAAGCGCCGCGGAGAGTATATAATAGCGACGATGCGTCGAGTTTTAGGCCTGCAGTAGTGCGCGCATAAAATACGTGATTTACGTAATTGACCATCGCCGCCGCCGCCGCGAGTCAAGCTCTCGAGTGTATGTGTGTGTGTGTGTGTGTGTGCCTGCGTTGGGCAATGTAATTGCGTGCGCGCATCGCATTATAAACTCAAGTTGCAATGCACGCGGGCACACATACACACGAGCTTCTCATTTATGCTGGACGAATTAGAGACGCGAGTGCGCGGGAGTAGTAACTACGGTATATATCACGAGGAAATTCCTGAAAAGTGTCTGGTCTGACGCTGCCAGGGCTCTACGATATTGCGTAAAAGCCTAGCTAAAATTACGAATGATTCGGAAACGAGCGCCACGAGTCGATGATAATCATTGCTCGTTAATCGCACGATTTAGTGGCTTGTACAAACAGCTTTAAAAAAGAAATGGGCGAAAAAGCATCGAGTCATTTCCAGCAATTTGCGTGTCTCCGAGCATTATAACGACCGCAGACCCCTTCGAGTTCGAGATCTCGAGAGAGGGTCGCGCAGCATAATAATCGCTCGTGTGTATATGTGGCCCTGTGTTATAAAATGTGTATGTACGTACGCGTGGTATTCGATCGTTATCGAAACGTCATGACCGCTGCGTTTTTTTTCTCTCTCTCTCTCCGCAATGTTTTCGTTAACTCATACATACGTGCAGCCGTCACACATTTACACTTACAATTACACCCGCGCACGCGTGTCTATCTGGTCTTTCTCTCTCTGTAATAAAGCTCGTGTGTCACGCGCGATTATAAATAACAATTCGCAATCGTTTCGCTTCGATTGTTTTCTCCTAATACAAAAAAATAGGGAGAAAGAAAGAAAATTTTGCGCTGTACGTACGGCGAAAGGTGCGCGCGCTTAGAAAAGAAAAGAAAGAGAGAGAGAGGCAGAGAAGGAGAAGTCACTGCACGCGTGTATATACTTTCTCGAATTATTCTTGTCCAGCGTGCATGAAGCAATTTACGATAGGCGCTGGCCTCTATATATAAGTTGGTGTGTGTGTGTGTGTACGCGCGGTGCATGTATGGAATTGCGACTCTGCGACGAGGATATATATATGTATAGGTATAGGAGAGAGAGAGAGAAGGAGAGAGAAAGGAAACCCGGTAAACTATCATCATGCCGCCGTGCACGTATATACTACACCTATATAGGTATATGTATAAGCGATATACGCATTCGCGACTGTACGGAGCTGCACATGGAAAGGCCAGAAAATAGAACGATCAGTCATATCATTAAATGTCAACGTTTCTAATAGATACGTTTGTGTCTGTGCGTGTGTGTGTGTATGTGTTTGAGGCTCCGCTGCACTACATATACACACGCACACGCGAAACGTTGTGCCTCGAGAGCGAGAGAGAGAGAGCAAATTGCTCGGCATCGCTCGAGAGAAGCCTAACTCTAGCGCGCGCGCGCCCGAGAGCGATTATTATTACGTTACGGAGGGCGTGTCGCCGCGCGCGAACTGCAATAAATTGTATTAGGATACTGTAGCCGAGCTCATATATATATATACGCGCGTGTACGTATGTATGTACAAGTCGTTGCATTTTCACGTTATAAATATATTTGCAACGATCGGGCGCGCGGCTCGAGGTATTTCACCTCCTTCTACTCCTATACATACTCCTCTCCGTGCAGAGTTCTCACGACGTTGCGTATTACATATTATAATGTTACAATACACGTGTAATTTCGCGCGCGCGCGCCCAAGCTTGAGCTTTTGACGCACGTAACGATATTTACAAGTTATTATACATTTATATATTGTATAGCACACGAGCCGCGCGCGAGCGCAAAAATCTCGAGGCGATATAATGATATAGTGCTGATTGGATATCTAGGCGTAATGTAGAACAATATCGGACGCGCGCGCGCCTGTGCTCGATTAGAAATATATCAATCGGTTTGTCTAGAAGTTTCCTGAAAAAACAGTTGCATTTTGACAGACTAATGCAAAGATTAATATTCCAAAACTCGTCTTGAATTTGTGACAAGATTAGTTGCTAGAAGCTGAACCAAGGTGTCATATTTGATTGTATACTTTTTAATTTTATCAACAGATGGCGTATTGTAAATCCGCAAGAGGAAAAAAATGCTGATTGAAGTATAAATACAAAGAAATTATTCTTAACGATTAACATTTTTACGATTAATATTTTAACGTCGTAGGAAAATTTGAATTACATATCTGGAAATCACATTGAATTATCAACAAATTTTGAATTAACATGGAATTTATGTTGATTTGTAATATATAATATGAAGAGAAATTTTTTTGATGATTTTATTGAAAAAATATTTCTTTGAACATGTAGCTCGTTGAACGATCGCATCAAGCTCGCTCTGTTTACGCGGTGTCGCACGCGTTGCCCGCGAGCAGCGGTGTAGCATCCACATATTACGTTATATATCACAGGGCCCGCCTCAACAGACGTAGACATTGGTAGGCACATCGCGGGCCCGCAAATGAGCCCTGCTATATATAACAGCTTCGTTTAATACACACACACACACATGAATATAACATTATACATATATGTGTGGGCGAACGCCTGGGCGATCACATCCGCGGGCACAAGTGTACGTATATTAATCCTCGGCTGATTTATCGGGCCACGTTTGCGTACGTATGTGCTGTAAGCCCGAGGAACTGCAACGAAGGATCGAACAAACTTTTGCCCTATGCGCGCACACCTCGATGTACGAGAGCTGATATATGGTGCAGGTCGTCAATAGTGGCGCACAGCAGCGCACATTCGGACTTTCGGAGCGTTGAAAATTTTGCCTGGCTCGAGCGAAAATGAGAAGCTACGTATCTATATACGGGAGATAGCTGCGAATCGGAGCGAGCTTGCGTATACTATATACCTATAGTAGCGGAGCTTTTTTTACCACCCTTCCGCGTTGCGCCTATATTATATCCCTTTGCTCGCGTACACACACGTACGTGTATACTTTTCATTGTGAGAGTTTGCCGAAAGAGAGCGAAGGAGAGCTGCCTGCCTGCCTGCCTGGCTTCGCATGCCAAGCCAAGCTCTTTTCTTCGTCGTCTATACTCGCTTCCAACTTCTCTCTCTCTCCCCGCGCGCGCGAGCTCGCAAAACAGTGATTGAATCGAACAATTTCAATGTCAGAGCAGCACATTCTGCGTGACTGGTGCGCGATTTATAACGAGATTACGCGCGTACCTACATAGCTATGCGCCGCGTGTGCTATATAGAGCACACTGCGCCGCGCACTGCAGACGTTCTTCGCGTCTATTTCCCTCGCGCGCGGCAGCTTATTTGCCCCGTTTTTTCCCCCAGCAGCAGCTCTTCGATTTTTTCCTATATATACCTTTTTCTTGCCATTACTTTTTTCCATCTCGACGCGGAATCGCGAATTAGGATCTTTGGTGCACACGCGTGATGTACGCGCGAGCTATAATACGTCGGAGAGAGATTCTGTTACGACGAGTATAAGTTTTACGCGCGACGTTGATAATAACAATTATAATAATCGTAATACTAATAACCGGCAGCAATGAGTTATCCCTTTACGACTCGACGGCGAGAGATAAGCTTTTCTCGTGTACGTATGCCGCCGAGATGCAACGTTTTAAAAGTCACGTGCGATAGGACGATGATCGGTCATATTACGGAATGTCGCGATCCCAGATACGGAGTCATTCTCTCTCTGCAAATGTATAACGCATACACATAAGCTTGACTCTCTTTCATATATACGAATTCGATGCGTCATGTGTGTATACATACACGTCAAACCATTGAGATAAAAGCTCGATCTGTGTGTGTGTATGTACGAGATAAGCGATCATCGTCATCCAGTGGCAGATATGTGCAACGGAGCTCGAGAGCACGGGTATTTTTTTATTTGTATCGAGTACACAGTATAGTCCCTTTGTTTCGGATTCGGCTGAGCTAGGCGCATTTTTTCCGCTGCTGCACAGCGTACAGTACCATTTCGACAGCATGTATACAGCGGTGAGCTTTGTACGAGGAGATACGATGCAAGCTCGCAGTACGCGTTGACGTATTAATTTTTGAAGCCAGAGATAAAGAAAAAATCGCTTTCATGGCTCGACAATTAGTCACAAAGTACTCGTTTATCTAACGTATTTATAATATTTATACACGCGTATCGCGGACTATTTAGCAGTTGTGCACGCGTGTGTATCCGTCATCCCATTAAAACATAGTCAAAGTTGCGAGAGAGAGAGCGAGAGGTATAGAAAGAGACGCAGAGAAAACGACGACACGAGCTGCGCGCGGGTGGGTGTGCTGGTGCGGTTAATTTTTGAAGCGAATTAAAGTTTTCAACGCAAGCGCATAACGCTGCTTTGCGCACAGCTCGGCAATGTCGCATAGCGGCAGCGGCAGCAGTGCAGCTGCATTTATATACAGTGTATATACCGTTGGGGAAACTACACGTATATATACATACACACGCGCGTATATGCATACATCTAATTTCAAAGCATTTCACGCAACGTGCGATCAACCCGTGCTGTAAGTGCGCGCACACAACTATGCTTTTCAAAATCCAGCGCGTGTACACGTATACCTACGTGTATATGTATGATCGCGTTTAAATGCTCTTTCAGTTGCTACATGCGCGCACACACACACACACTCCCACACCCAACAACAACCCACTGACTAACTGACTGACTGACTAACTAACTGACTCGCGCAGATACACCATTACTACTGCTACTACTACTACTACTCGACTCGCGTTTAGCATAAACAGATGGAAAATTAACGAACTTCAGCTTGCAGCAAGGCTATGCGCGCGCGCGCGTTTCTCAGTGTTTTTTTCCTTTTTTACTTCGTTCTAATTTATTTTTCCGCGCGCGCGGGCTTCTTTTTTGTTCATTTTTGCGTTGACGCAGCGGAAAAAAGAAGAAGAAGATGGAGAAAAAATATAATGAAGGAATGCTATCAACGTTACTACGCAAAAACGATTTGCGAGTAGTAGTCGGGCATCTGCGCGCGTTATACGCAAGCATAAAGAAACGTCTACGTCTTGCTCTCCTCGATGTAATATCGCTGCGTAAATACATATTTATTACCGGGTAAATCAGCGATTCGCGTATACACATTTTTTCCATTTTCGTTTCTCCGCGTCGATCGAAAATATACTATTTTTCTCCACCCACAAAGAATCGACGAGGTATTTTTTACATTTCTTGCGCCGCTGTGTTGCCGCTACTGCTACCGTGTCCGATTTATGCATACTCTGTGCAAGGCAAAAAGAAGGCTATATAGATGTCGATTCGGGGCGCGCGCGTAACTCAAAATTCGATTGTGTGCACGGAGCGCGGGCGACGGCGGCGCATGCAGATCGATATGTATATACGGCTAGATATAGAGCAAGCTTGCAAACGTATGTGTAACACGAAAAGCCGCAGCAGCAGCAGCAGAGGTGCGCGGGCGGATATTATATATTATACGCTCGACTCCGAGGAAATGGATTTCTCGAGTGCTTTTCAAGACGATTTCGGTCGCCGCGCCGAGACTCGCTCTCTCGATGCGCGCGCGCGCGCGCGAAAGTGGGTGCCACAATAAACTCGAGATAGTTGGACTAGTAGTGGCGGTACACGAGCCCTTGTACGACTGTGTAAAATCGATAATCCCTTATATTTTGGCATACAGACGCGCGCGCGACTTCATGTGTGTGTATGTAAGTGTGTGTGTGTGTACGCTATATATGCGCGGGGGAGTATTGCAACACATTGCGGCGAGATAAAATCATGCACATGCCGCGCGCGCGCCTATATAATATAAGTTGGCAGTTTACACGCTCATTTTCCATTCTCGAGGTGGTGCACAGCATAGCACTTGCACTGATTTCCGTGGATGATGACTGATACTGCATACCATACACACATACTTTTTTATATAGGCGCGCACGCAACGCGGATGCTTGATTTCCCTTCTTTCTCTTTTTTTTTTTGAAGTGAAACTTCTATACGCGCGTTGGGTATGGTAGGTCAAGCTGTGAAAAACGAGCGCCCGTACTTTAAATATTGTACGAACAATGTATCGACAGATAAATCGGTAACATAATTGTAAACAATATCATCATTGACGATTTTGTCATCGACTCTCGACACACTGATCATGTTTATTGAAAAAGGAATTAGTTTGAATGTTGTCTTTAACGACTAAACAACCAATAATACCCCAGAAGATAAATTTAACTCATTGAGTTTCCGTGAAACAAATTGAAGGATCCATCGTTAAATTTAGGAATCAAAATGGATAAAAGTGAGAAGAAATTCGAGGAGGTTGTCTCAAAAAATAATTTGAGTGAACACGAGATTGCTGTTTCAGACGGTAAACAAAACGTTGATGATACTTGCCAGGAATCATTTACACTAGAATCAAGTATGATAACACATCGAAACACATTTCACAATGAAAAAGCAGATTATGCATGCGACAAGTGTGAGAAAAAATTTGAGTTTAGAAGTCATTTGAGTAGACACCAAATATCTGAACACAAAGGCTGCAAAGATTTTGCATGCGACAGGTGTGAGAAAAAATTTGTGAAAAAATCGAGTTTGTTCACGCATCAAAAATTAGTACACAAAGATTGTAAAGATTTCAAGTGCAACAAATGCGAAAGAAAATTTGAAAATAAATCAACTTTACTCAAGCACAAAAAGATTTTCCACGAGGTTTTCAAAAATTATTTATGTGAAATGTGCGCAAAGAGATTTGATACTAAACCCAGTCTGCTCTTGCACATAAAGACAGTACACGACAAGTGTGAATTGAAATTGATTCGACACAAAACGATAAAACAAGAACGTCGCAAATATTATGCATGTGACAAGTGCGAACAGAAAATTGGACAAAAATCGCATTTTCTACGCCATCAAAAGATTGTACACGAAGGTCGCAAAGATTACGCATGCGACTATTGTGAGAAGAAATTTGGACGAAAATCCCACTTTCTTTCTCATAAGAAGATAGTCCACGAAGGTCGAAAAGATTACTTATGTAACAATTGCGGAAAAAAATATGGACGTAAAGAGCATTTACTCAATCACGTAGCAACAGTCCATGAGGGCCGCAAAGATTACGCATGCAATAAGTGCGAGAAAAAATTTGGACTAAAATGGGTTTTGCTCAAACATCAAAAGTCAGTACACGAAGGTAGGAAAGATTACGAATGCAACAGATGCGAGAAGAAATTTACAGAAAAAAGGAATTTGCTCACTCATCTAAAGACAATCCACGAGGGTCTGAAAGATTACACATGTGATAGGTGCGAGAAGAAATTTGGATATAAATGGCATTTGGTCTCTCATCAAAAAACAGTCCATGAAGGTCGGAAAGATTTCGCATGTGACAAGTGTGAAAAAAAATTTTCACAAAAACGGAATTTGCTGGTTCATCAAAGAACAGTCCACGAAGGTTGTAAAGATTTTGTATGCGACTATTGCTTGAAGAAATTTGGACACAAATCGGCTTTACTTTTCCACCAAAACACAGTGCACGAAGGTCGAAAATTCGCATGTGACAAGTGTGAGAAAAAATTTGGTCAAAAATCCGATTTGTTTAAACACAAAACGATAGTTCACGACGGTCGCAAAGATTACGCATGCGATCAGTGCGATAGTAAATTTGGAATGAAATCGTATTTGCTCAAACACCAAAAGACAGTTCACGAGGGTCGCAAAGATTACGCATGTGACAAATGCGAAAAGAAATTTGGACTGAAATCGAATTTATTGAAACATCAAAAAACAGTTCACGACGGTCGCAAAGATTTTGCTCGCGACAAATGTCAGAAAAATTGATAATTGTAAATATGTATATGTTAAAAATAGTAACTTATATGTTTTTTTAAATTTTAATAAAAAAATCATCTGAAATGATTGCGCATTACCCGAACCTCGCTTTTTTTTTAATTCAAGGGCCGCAAGCTCGCGTTTCTCCGTTATCCGCGCGCGTGGCTCGCCTATATAATACGCAAGCTTGCGCGATTTTTCGGTACGATAAATTAATCGTAGCTATATGTTTGCGGTGATGTACAGAAACGTTGAATATATAAACAGAGGTTATACGGATGGACTACACTTATATTAACGTCGATATTCCTCTCTGACGCTCTCTCAAGGCAAACATTCAATAGCCCGATGAATCTATATAGACTTTATAAGTTGAATTTGTGACGATGTTTGAAAAGCTACCCTCGCCACGACCAAACCGACGCTACAGCATCTCTCTCTCTCTTCTGAACGAATGAACGCGAGCAATTCATATTTTAGCGTGTTTACATTATAATATATATACTCGCGCGAGTTGTACAACCGCACGATATCCGCGTATAATAACGTAAAAGTTCATCGACGCGTTGCGATGTTGACTGACGTTTTCGATCATTTTTCTTTCGCCCGCGTGTAGTCGCGGCCACGTCTCTTTCACATCGATTTCCGAAAAAATTAATAAAAAAGTAAAAAAACTACTACTCACCAGCTCTGATGTGCGAACTGCCCCACTGCCAGGCGACGATGCGCGGCGGCGGCCTCGAGCAGAATCTCGACTTGAGCCTGTGCACCGCCTCGCCGGCCCAGCCGATCGACTCGTACATGCCGTCCTCGGTCTCGGCGCTCGGCCTCGACTGTATCTCCGGCGGTCCGATCACGTGCAGCACGAATCTCACGTCGCTCGGCATCTCCCGCCTGACGCCGTTGATCACGTTGTAGGCGACGCAGCGGTACTCGCCCTCGTCGGACCAGCCGACGTTCTCGAGCCGGAGCCTACGGCCGCCGTTGAGCGAGTCCTCGCTGTTGCGATTGTCGATGGTGTCGGTGCTGCCGCCCCGCTGATGAAGCCAGCGATACTGGGCCGGTGGATTGGCGTCGAAGTCGGGACACTCGAAGGGCTCGATGTTGAGGCCGAGCGAGGTGGTCTCCTCGATCTCGCCGAGGCTCGACATGCCCTGGCCGTTGAGCGTGCTGTGTCCGTGGCCGTCCAGCTGGTCCTGCTGACGCGGCTTCGGTCCATCTGTAGGGAGGCGGGGGTGGAAAAAAATTATCACATTAGAAAGTTGATAAGCATCGATGATATTTTCATGTGACTTTTTGAGCTACTTTACTTCGATCGTAACGCTGCCGTACAGCACTCTAGCGTATCGATTATGTCCGATTACGTGCAGCTACCGTTATTATATTATATCTATACGTGTATTGGCGCATGTTAAAAGGCCTCTTATGATGTATTATACGCTAGACTACATGTGACGGCACGCGCGCGCGGCGACCTGCACTTATACCGCTCGTTTTTCGGGGAATCGCGGCTCGGAAAAATAGACCGACCGTGATCGACGTCGTCGGTGTCGAAGTCTAGTTCTCTTTCTCTCTCTCTCTCTCTCTTTGTGTGCTCTTGTAATGTACGTGTCCAACAGCGATCGCAGCGATCTCTGACCTACTACTACTCGTTATTATTATATCGTGATCGCGAGCGCGCGAGGGTATATAAGTTAATATTTTTATTGGCACGGTACACAGAGTGCACAGGGGGGTCGTGCACTCGTCGAATAGAAATATTTGCCCCCGCTGTATACGATTTTTACCCGGTATTCGCGTTTAATTTTTTTTACTGTTTTTTTTTTCGTTTTTTATGATACATACACATACGTGGTACATGTAAGTTCGTACATAGGCGCGCGTAAATAACGAGCGAGTTTGCACTCTCGTGATATACGTATTACTCTTTTTCTCTCGCGCGTTCGCGTGACGGCTCGCGCGCGCACACAAGCAACAACGAAAAAACGCAGTGAATGAGCGAGAGAGAGAGAAAAGAAAAACAACGTATTATAGTCTCTTATATGTGCGTACGTATATTTTATGTGGCCACGCGACGCTATTATACGTATACAGCTAGCACTATAAACGTTAATTTTTATAACGCAGTCATTATAATAATTACCTCTCTCCCCCTTCGTCGTCCTTTTAGCGTCGATAAGCGCAATATATTATAAAAATACACATACCCACTCGAGAGCCCTGCGCGCGTTATACGTGTGCGGTATGAAATTTCGACAAATTTTTTATTGCACTGCGCACTCGTGAGTGCAGCAGCGTATATGTGTATATCGCGCGGGAGATTTTCGCGTGTGCCTGCATTATAATATAATCTAAAGCCTAGCGGCAGCAGCAGCAGCAGCGAAGTAAAGTACCTGGCACTTTGTTCCTCGAAAGTGTTTGTTATTAAAGCCCGGATGCTCTCTTATATATACCATATTATACATACATATATTCATGAATCTGTCGTCGGTGTATATATATAGTATAAGTAATTATCATTAGCCATATATATACAACACAATGTGTCATTGAAACCGATGATGAGGCATTTATTATTCACTCTCGTCGTCGCGGCTCATTTGAATGCTGCTGCTGCATAGCAGCAGCGGCAGTGCAGCCGAAACAAGCTTTTATTATAATAAATATATATAAATCGTCGTGCCACGCTTTTGCTGCGAGCTGCTGGCACTTTTAGCGAGCGTCTAAAAGCCTCACTCTCGCGGCGCATTAATAAGAATGAATTTCGTCTTTTTTTTTTTTCAATTTTTTTTTGTTGCATTCTCTCGGCGACCGAATTGCATCGGAGTCGATTCGGATCCATTCCATTCCGCTCGCTCGCTCGCGTATAATATAGCGTTTTAGCGTTTTGATGAATTTCGGCGATCCGCGAGCGCGCGCGCGTGCTTATCGCGAGCTCGAGCGACGACGAGACGATTCTTTATTATTATTGCCGCCGTGCTGCTGCGCGCCACACGGTGTATATAATACGTATACACTCGAGCTTTTAGCCTCGCAATAAAATATTCCTCTTGCCTGCTGCTGCAGCGGAGAAAGAGAGAGAGAGCTACTATACTTACGCCCGAGCCATTCTCTCTCTCTCTCTCTCTCTCACTCCTTTTTTTTCTTCTTTGCTCTGATAATTCGCGCTAAGCATAAGGAACTTAAAAATGGCCAAAAGCGAGCGCCTCGCTGCGGCTGTTATATTATATAAGGCGAGCACGGCTCTTATCATAGCGTTGCGGGCTTCTTCGTTCGTTCGTTCGTTCGTTCTTCTTCTTCGTCTAGCTTCTTTTTAGCTTGGCGCGCGCGAGGATAGTGTATAAGAGAAGGATATCGCGTCGTTTTCTGTAACGGGGCCCGAGCGCTCGAGATAGCGCTCGAGCTATATACGAAAACGTCGGGCTGTTATAACCGATGCTAATTATACAGCTTATCTCTCTCTCTCTTTCTCTCTCTTAGCTCTCGAGCGAACGTATATAAGTGTGTGTGTGTGTGTATGTGTACGCCGAGCTGCATTAATATACACCGGAGCCTCGAACAATAATAGGCGCATACGTATATATATTTCGTGCAAGCGAGCCTTTGCTCCGAGACTATATTATACCGTGGCATATCTGAATTTCTTTTCAGCCGAGATGACGGACTATCCTTTGTTATCGTCTTGTCTAGCCGCGCATATATACATATTTACGAAGAAGAGGAAGAAGTAGAAGAGAAAAAGAGTCAAGCTGCTCCAAAGACGTGCGGGCGCAACACAACTGCTCATAGCTCTTTTCATTATGCTATCTATCTCTCTCTGTTTCTCTGTTCCGTTGTCTTCCTCCATCTTCATCCATATATATCAATAAATTTCCTACGAAAATCTTCTCAACCTCTTTTTCTTACTCGCAGCCGTCTTATGTAAAGAAAAAAAAATCTAGTGGATTGAAAAAAAGCCATCGGCACGTACTGCAGCAATTGCTAATATATGCATTTACATATATTCTTCTTTTTTTTCTTCTTTCTGCTTACCCGAAGATGAAAACGGTCGTCGCGCGCGAGCGAGGCAGGAAGAGGCCATACCACGCATATTATACGCGTCGATTCATAATCATCGAAGTCATTTATACGGCTCGATTATTTATTCAAGTGTATTGTGCTCTTCTCTGTCTCTCTCCCTTCCAGTCCCCGATGATGTCTCATGTGCACTCACGCACACACGCACATGTTTGTGACAATGGAAAACGATATAAGCCGCGCACATATCTGCGCCTGATATATATAGGGACTAATTTGACTTTATTAATATCAGCTGCCGCGAGCGCGCTATACTACATAAGCCATTCATTAATTTCAATCGTCGAAAACGACTATCCAACGACGACGACGATACCGAAGGGAGAGAAGAAGATCCGAGGACAAAAAAAAATCTCGTCACAGAGAGAGAGACAAGTCATTCTTGCCAATGATCATCGCCGCGACCCGAGCTGTATGTATGAAACGTACCAAACCACGTTTATTATAGCGAGTCAACCGGGAGAATCGAGCGGTTTGAACTGATGCTGCTGTTGCTGCTTCTGCCGCGCAGTGTATATAAATAAATTGTATAATTGAATCAAGGAAACATCCGTCATCGGACGTGTACAGTTCGTTATGTGTATAATACAATCGAGTCAATAGATAATTCAGGCGGCCATCGTCGTCGTCGTAGTCATCTTTGGCCTGGTATGATATCTCTCTGTGCCCGCACGGGAAACTTGCGACCGATCCCCAACGATATTCACGTATATACATAATTGGCTTTTGTCCGGCGCGTATACGCATCCAGCCGATTGATCGCGTACATAAATTTGCACTGGATTTAGTATTTGACATGAAACGAAACGAATATATTATATATACGTACATTGAACGTCGAGCCTGTAATGATCCGGGGCGCTCTCGCCGATGATGTTGACCGCTCGGCAGCTGTAGAGGCCCGCGTCCTCGGCCTTGATCGGCTCGAAGCGCACCTCGGACTCGGCCAGGGTGGCGTTGGCCTGGCTGCCGTCGATCTGCTGCACGTGGCCGCTCGACATCAGTATGGGCGAGCCGTCCTTGAACCACTTGATTGTAGCCGGCGGATTGGAGTTGGCCACGCAGCGCAGCGAGACGAAGCTCGCCGAGTCCTCGAGGGCCGCCACGAGCATGCGCGGACTCGTCTCGAGGTGCACAGTGGGCGAGTCTGCAACAACGAAAACAAATCGAGAGATATATATAATTGTAATTCAATCGATCGTGTGTATCGGCCTCGTCAATGTCGAGCTATTCGGTTGTTATTAAATCATGACTATATATACGCGCGTGTGTAATAGTCGACGCGTGTGACGGACGTTTATGATATGCGCATGCACATATCGCGCGTGCGATAATAATAATTTTCCCACAACGATATTACGGATCGCCTCGGTGATCGCGTCGCACCGCGTGCATATATACAGCTGATATATTCAATTTTAATAACGCTTAGCACCCAACGTGTAATTACATTTTTTATATATACATACAACATTATTATACGTCAAATCTCATTCAATCGTTCGAGCGACGCTGCGCTCGGCGCGTTATATTATGAAACTACAAAGCCCCCCGTCGACGTAATTCCGTAATCGTGACAAACTCGTTTTCTCCACTGTATAAAATACTTATTTTGCCCTCGTCGAGAGCAGCGCGCGTCATTGAAAAGAGGCAGTATATATAGAAGCTCGTCGCTGACCGCTTGACCCGTTGCCGCGGATTTAGATCCTCGATCGTCTGTGGGTTAAGGATTATTTTAAAATTGCACCATAGGCAGGCCTCGCTTTGATCATGCAACGATTTTTAATCTCTTCCGGGCGCGGTCCGCCATATATATACACACGATTCGCGGCGCGGTTATGGCTGTATATATAACGATAACGGAGCTGGCGTGCCCTGGCGATCGTATAAACAAAGAAATATTGACAATGGCTTTGAGCGCAATATTGATCGTAATGCATGAATTGAATTTTAAGTTATCGATTTTATTAAAGAGTCGATCACGGAAATAGTCAGAAATTTTCTATGTTAATATAGAACTTTGCGATATATTTGATACAAAAAGAAAGAAAGAAAAGATCCCGGCCCCAAATTAATTCCTTCCATGCATTTAGATTTACAAATGCGCGTATAATGCAATTTTTTCTACATCAAGGGTAAACAATTGGTCTTTATTAATTTTTAGGAAACATACTTTCAAAAAGTGTATACAGAAATCGGAATCTCTGTATTCATATTGATACTTTATGAGTTCGATACAGAAATCGAAACGTTCGCCGCGACTTTCCGCGTGATGTCGCTTCGAGTCGAGATAGTTTCCGCAAGAGGAAAAAAGGATGCTGCTGTATAAGTTCACATCATCCTAGAATATCAGTTCACTCAGACTTGCGAAGTATTTTCGGCCGAGCGATCAACTTGTCGTGAAAAGAAAAACTAAATTTCAGCCGTCTCGGCAGACGAGGCTTAATAATTAGCCGTCACGATTCATTACGAATTACATCGTTTATATACACGTATAATCCCTCTGCTATATTATCAAGTACACCCAGTGTACATACACAGTGACGCGCAAAATGTGTGCCGCGTATACGAAAATCTCGTTACGCGCGGTAAAGCATCCCGCGTGTGTGTGCGCGTCGTTTCACGAGCTCGGGCACCAAATTTACACTCGTCCCACTCACCCTCTCGATTCCGCGGCGCGAAAGAGTCGCGCACACGCTGTACGAAATCTCGCGGCTTATGTATATAGACGGGTACTATATATAGGTAATAGGACGACGATGACCCGTGCCATGCACGCGCGCGTGCGTATGCGTGTGTCGTTAACGAACGCGAGTAATTTAATATTCTTCGCACGCCTGTATGCTCGCGTACCTGTATTATAGTGCTTCGTCGAGATGAAAATACGCGCGACGCGCATAAAATAGACATTCGCCTCGTATAATGTAATGGCGAAAACGAAAGATATGTGTCAGTGACTCCCACGAAAACATTCAACTATTTTTTCAGTTGATGCTGCAGTGGAGGATGAAATTTTCGCGAAGTGAGCGAACGATCTCTGGTAGAAATGCTCGACGTTAAAAAGTGACCAAAAAATGACCGTTTGAATGTTTCAAAATGCATCACTTGCTTATGAAAATGTTCTATAACAATTATATGACAATCATTGAGCGTATTTTGAATGACCCCAAAATGACGATTAAAATGTTTCAAAAAAATTTGACCTGTTTTCGACCACTTAAACATGACAATATTACTTCAAGTCTCCTACCACTAGATGGCGAGTACCTTTATCTACTAAAACCTGCAAGTGACAAAGTCAAAATAATTGTATAAGTTAGAGAGTCAGAAAAGGAAAATTGAATTTTATAATATCTCACTTGACTAAAAGTGAAAAACGTTGAACTTAATACAGCCATACTATCTTGAAATAAACATTAAATTTTTGGCTTTTACATGCAAGCTCTAACGACCCCTTTTATACATCTAAGAAGTTTTTCCTTTGTACAAAAACATTTCTACCAGAGCTAAAAAATGGTTGGATGGAAACTTGATGCATTATCGATCATCGTAGTAAATAATATAAAGTATCATCAAATCAAATACTCACAGTGTATGTCGAAGCGAGACTCGACGACCTCGGGCAGCGCCCGAGTCGGGTGCATCGTCAGGCATCTGATCGGCTTGTTGTGATTCTCCCGGGTGCCCTTCACCTTGAGCGTGCTGTGGGCCGCCCAGGTCTTGGGCTTGTCGACCTCGGTCGCGTTCGACTGCTCCCTCTGCGGCTTCACCTCCTCGTTGCCGATGAACCTTCGATCCAGAGCATAGAGAGATAATATAAGTGACTGTTGGATTCAATATAGGCTTATACGACAATATCGAGCTTTATATTATTATTCCGCGCGCGTTACATATATAATACGCGATAAACGTATTGTCCAGTTCAGCTGGCTATAGAATATCGGTTTAACGAATGCAATAATACGCGTTCGCTGCGGGTATTTATGCGTCATTTGTGCGCTTTGGTATTTCAGAGCCTCTCGAATTGTTGTACGCGTGTGCCCTGTATATATAATGCAGCTGATCGAGAGCGCGCCGAGGCATTGTAAGAGAGAGAGAGAGAACTAGAGCCAGGAGGAGGAAGTACAAAAGATTAATCAGCGATATTATTGCCCGGCCACGAAAACACGCGGCGCATTTTCCTCTGGCCCCTCGCCTCCGTCGTTCTCGTCGTCGTCGTTGTAAATGTACATAATACTGCAATAGGCACTTTATGTACGTATAGCAATATAGACTCGTGTGTACATACAGCGCATGTAGGTATATACAGCTATGCTGCATGCCTACGTATAGAGAGAGAGAGAGCCTATGCATGTAGCCCCGTGCAGCTCGTGATAAGGCATAAAGCTCGCGAGCTCGCCGCCTATACGATATTATGCGCTGCTCACCATGGGCACACGCCACCATGGGCACACGATGAATTTCCTCGTAAAAGTCATAAAGTAAGTCGTGTAATGCGCTCTCTCTTGCCTCCGCATGCAGCGCAGCTCTATATATATAGTGACCGCGGCTACGTCGTGTACGTATAGAAATCTCGCGTGCGAGGCGATGAAAAGCCGCTGCTGCCATGGTGTACAGCGCGGTAGCAGTTCTCTCTCTCTCGCACCTCTTTTTGCCGAGGTAAAAAGAAGCAACAAAATCACTGCGCCAAAAAGTCCTTGTTACATTATATACGTATATATATACAGTGGTTATAACGTTAGAACTCGGCCGAACGAGCGGCAATGCAACACCCACTAAAAAGAAAAAAAGAAAGAAAAAAAAAAGAACGAAGCCGAGCACGTGCTGGGGTTCCTCGGTGCATTACATGCGCCGCGCGCGGTATAAGAAAGCGAGAAGAGATTGCCGCCGCTCGTATAGAGGAAGAAAAAGAAGAAGCATACAAGAGAGGAGTACGTAAAAAAAAAGAGAAGGAGGAAGAAGAGGTAAGGTGGAACGAACTGCGCCGAAGAGTCTTTGCGCGCGCGCGCGTGTGAGGGTGTGTATGAGTGTGTGTGTGTGTGCTGCGCGTGAAGCCGCGACCAATTATATACCGCATTATATAGATATTTTACTGAAAGCTCTGCTAGCTAGCAGCTACCGGCACTAAATGAGAATCTGCCGCGGACAATGAGCAGCCACAATCGCGTCTGCGCTGCTGCTGCCTCGTCCTCCCGCTGCCGCTGCAGTTCTCAAATGAATGAAACTGCATTATACTCTCTCATGACTGCTGCTGCTGCTGCACTGCTGCGCAGCGACGAAGGAGTTTAAATAGAGGACGATATATAAACCCTCCCTCCATCTGACCCCCGTAGAAGCTTCACGACGACGACGACGATGTGGCTGTGGCGACCTTCTGCTGCGTCGCGGACTCGAGAGAACCGCGACGGAGCGACCCGAGCTTTCATTAAATTTCAATGGGGGTTCATAGAGAGAGAGAGAGAAAAAGTCGGTCCCGTCTCTACCCCCGTCTACCCGCGCTCGTGGTGTACTTGTTTTTCTCCGCATCTTTCCATACACAGTCGCGCGCTTTCCTTCAGCCTTCTTTATATTTTTTTCATATACATTCTTGGAGGTAGAGAGAAAGAGAGAAAAAGACAGGGGAAAAAGAGTTTGCAATATGCTGCCTCTGGAGCAGCGCGTATGTTCTCTCTCTCTCTTACTCTCCTGACATTTCTAATTATATCTTTTAATTACTTTATAATTTAACGCTGCGCAAGCGCGCGAGGCTTTACCATATATATAAGCACACCTGAACGAGCGGCCACGATGCGCACTTCTCTCTCTCTCTCTCTCTCTCTCTCTCTCCACGCTCAATTATGCTTTTCCTTTATTTTTCTTCTTTTTTTTTTTTATATATAATTTCTGCCAGCTGAGCTCCGAGAAGAGGAGGAGGAGGATGAGGTCCGTCGTTTTTTGTCGATATATAGCTTTTGTCAAAAGAAATCCGATGCACAGCACCCGACTGCAGCAATCGCCGCCTTGCCGCCGCTCGCGCGCGCTGCAGAGAAAAGAGAGCGCGAAAAGAGAATTAGCTCGAAGCTCCTTTTATTTTCTTCTTCTCCCTGCTTCTCCTGCATCCACGGGTTTTTTTTCCACTCTATACTACTATATTCCGCTCGTATAGCACATAGCAGCGGTGGCGGCAACAGCTGCGGCTCATTGATGAAGTGAAGCTGGTTTCGCCGAAAGATGAGAGAGAGAGAGAGAGAGAGCCCGGGAGTCGAGAGATGCGGAAAATTCAAAAGAAGCGAGCTGCTGCCGGTGAGCGCATGCCGCCGCTGCTGCCGCTGCATGGTTAACGCGATTGCACGCGCGCGCGCCCGTTCATTGGAATTAAAATTCTATTTTTCGGAGGCCGCCCGAGCGAGGAGAGAGAGAGAGAGGACTTTTTCAATTTAACCGTAGCCAAAGAGTGCACGCCTATATTTATATAGATAGACAGCTCGACGAGAGCTGATTTTCGATTGCACGCGCGCGCGCACACACACACACGCGTACTTTTTGCGAGCGAGCACGATCGACTTTTTTTTCACTTTTTTATAATTCGCGCCCGGTGCATTAATTTATATACCAACGACGGAATGTGTGGCGTGGAATATAATTTCTGATGGCTTTCGCACATACACGCACATGTATATAGGCATCCACCCCCGCGCGAATACGCGTGTATACGGTATTTTTTCGGTACTATACATAGACGATTGGGCGTATTCAAATAGAGCAGCTTCCCGATTCATTTCCCAAGAGCTGCTGCTGCATACAGTCTCGAAAGAGGAAATTTCTTCTTTTCATAGCGGGCGCTTTTCTCGCTGCAAATGCGTGCGCCGCGCCGTTTCGAGTGCATCGCGTGTAGGCCCCCGCTTTCATACTCCTTTACTTCGATCGAGTAATTTATATATTGTGTACATTTGCACGGAAACCCGTTCGCTCGCTTTTGCCTTGCCTCGACTCGACTCACCGCGCGCCACCCGCGCTCGTGCGCAGATCTCATGCCGAGCATCGGCCTTTTTTTTGGTGCGTTCAAGGCCGTGGCAGCGCGTGTGCATCGTGCGTCGAGGCAAGCGAGAGTGGATTAATTAATCAAATCGAGTTGATGATATATACAAGCGGAGCTCCTTAATAACGACGAAGATCGCGCGCACACGACACACACGGGTGATATCATTATCGTGTTTTTATATCATTATTGTTATTGTAACGTATGGCACGCACACCTACGCGCGTTGAAAACACGCCGATGACTCGATGATGTTCGTTTCGCGCGCGGAAGGGGTAAATTAATACGTTATATATGATAATGCGCGCATCCGCGGTGGCGAGGACGCGTTATTTCAGCCCGAATCCGGTTGGAGTATACAATAAAACGCATTGATATACATAAATATTTTTCGTGTAAGCCGAATGATGGATAATGTACGAAAAGCTGCGACGATACAAATTATATACATATCCCAAAAGGCGCGCAGACGAAGCGGTGAAAAGCTGAGAAACGAGTGTCATTAACATTACCCGGCGTATACGACGCGCACACACCTTCTACTTTTGGGTTCTATAGATATATGTATACATATTATACAAGTGTGCGTTGTGTGTATGTGTGTAACTCGTCCTTTTTAAAACACATTCCTTCGCTCATTTATCATTAAAACGTGTGTGTGTCTCTCTCTCACTTACTCATTCTCGCTCGCTCTTGTGTTGTGTATATGCGCAGTTTCTAAAATAAATGAACAAAAGGCCAAGGCGTTAAAAGCATCATCTAGTTTAAGCTGCCTCAACGACGACGACGACGACGACGACGACGAGAGGTATATAGCCTACACACTACACAACACAACAACAGGCAGAGAAAGAAGCGAGAGATGTATAACTTATTGTGGCACTCGAACGACACACTCGACAACACAAACTATATACGTCTGTATTATATATATATCGCGTATACAGCTTTGAGTGCGTGTGACAAACATCTCAGGGAAAAGTTAAACGCGCGGCCCGCGTTATTTCGTATGTATATAACGCGCTGCACAAAAGCTCCGCGGCGTTTATATGGGTAAAACGAGAGTCTACTACTATTATTGTTGTTATTACCACGATCATTTTTTTTCTGGCAGAGTTTAAACGATGAACGTTGCGTATAACGAAAAATTTTTTATGCATATACGATATTAACCCGTGATTTTAAAGCTTAAAGGCGACAAATGCTCGCACGTGAAACAACAACAACAACGGCAAAAAAAAATTAAAAGCCAGAGAAAGAAACTTATACGTGTAACGTTAATATTTCCACTCGAGCTATTGGCGCGAGCGCGTTAAAAGAGCACGAGCTCGCGCTAAGCTTAAGGCGGCCGGCCGGCCGCGCGCATTCATCCGCGGAACAAATTATAACGACTTTGCGGCTCTTTCTCTCTCTCTTTCGCGGCCGAACTTGCAAGAGAGGGAATTGCACCGCTGCAGATGCTGATGCTGCTGAGCTATACACGTTAAGAAGGTAAAAAATTATACTGTATATACGCTCTCTCTCTCTTGGAGCTGTTTTGAAGAACGATAAGACGCGCAGAGGAGAGCGACAGGCAGCAGCAGAGACAGCAGGGCCCTTGGTCGTCGTGCAGCAGTGTGTCCTCGCCCCCGCGCGAGCGCATTATGTGTATCGCATAAACGATGAAAAGAGCCTCGAGTGTAACGAAAAAGATTAAAAAAAAAAAAAAAAAGGAAAGCAAAAAAAAGAAGGAGGAAAAAGGAGCAAAGCTCGCCGTATATATAGCTTAAAA